AAAAAAAATCCCTAAAAAGTTTTGTTTTTGAACCCCATTTTTGCGATTTTTTCGATTTTTACCATAATAAACATGATTCATTCGATTTGTAACTAGACGTGTATTATAAAAAATTTAATTGCAAACATTTTTTTCCTCTTCCATTTTCGCCTAAAATCAACTCTTGAAAAGATACATAATTAAATAGGAAGAAAAATATGACATTTTACAATTTTTTTAACATATTGTACCGCCAAAAGTTAAGCCCACGTTTTTTTTATGCGCATAGAAAAATTTTCATTTCTAGTGATATTTGAAAGCCAAAAAGCCAAAAATCTCCGTGGATATACGTTTCACCCAAATATGGCTTTTTGAAACAGATACCGTCTGGACTATTAATAAAGCTTAAAAAAACGGTTTTTCGCTAATAAAAAATAACTTGAACTCCAATCGAAAAAAGTTGAATAAGAAAGTTGTAGCTATTAAAAAAACCTATCGATTTGTATTTTTAAACATATCGATTGCTATATTACTTTTCGAGATATATCGAAAAAACCGTCAAAAATCGATATTTCTTGTTTTTGCTGTATCTCTTGCAAATTAAGGTTTTAAAAGTTGTTACTTGCTGTAAGCAAAGAAAGTGCCTTTCTTAAAATTAAAAACTATTAAAAAATTTTCGAGTTATATCGATTTTTCGAAAAAAATATCTCGAAAATCGGCTGCTCTCGACGTAAAGAAACGAATCAGGGCTCATTTTTTTCCTTAGGGGTTGTACTTTCATGGTAAAAAAAAGTGATAACGATTTTATTCATTTCAAGTGCCCAAAAATGACTGAAAAAAGTAAAAATTTTTTGGTCGCGTTTTCCTTGAATATCTTTTTCAATTTTCATTTCTCGATAATGCCTATAACAGAAATCGAATGCTGGCATTTTTACGCGAATTTAAAAAAAAAACGTTGCTCTACAACCTTCTGGATATAAAAGATTTTTTTTCAAAATTGTGTCAGTTTGTATCCCCAAATCTAAGTTTATTGAGACAAAAGTTTATAGAAAATCTAGCCATGTAATTCCATAATTTGCAGTCAGTTCACCTTGTATTCAATATTACATTATTATTTTTTCCAAATGCGCATCAAATATTTTTATATTTTCTTCGATGTTTGATAACTGACGTCCAGGAACTTTATTGAATTAGCTTTAAACTACTTTTAATTTCAAGATACAATTCCATCCTGGTTCGTTATTATTCCATTAGCTGTTACAAGTTTTTTTACGAGTCACGTTTTTGACTTTTTTTTGTTCGTAGAACCCAACAACTCTCAGTGGGGCCCAGTGATAATAATACCTCTTCTAGCGACAATTATTTTGGCCGCGAGCGTATTCCTGCTGGTCATTTTTAGGCAAAACCCCACCTTCGTCATCACCACGATAGCAGGATGTCTGATATTTATAACTATATACCTCACCATATGTGCCATGGAGACGACAAAAGAAGTTTTGGAATAATGTAGAGCGTATTATAGATTTATTTATTACTTTTCATAATAGCTGTACTGTAATGTAGCTTTTTTCGTCCGCAAAGAAAATTGAAGTGTTCATTTCTTAAAATTACAATATTTTTAGTGAAAGAAATGGAATGTTCTATTAGTTTAATGTGAAAGAAAATAAAACTTTAGTTGAAATTCGCACCGATGTAAATAGTTATTTATAATCCAATTAAATAAGCGTTTAAATCGAAATTTTGGTCAACTTGCCCGAATTTTTGATATGAGTTAGTTTGAGGTATATTATAACAACGACAGTAATTTTTTGTTCAACCCCGGCCAAGGGTGAAAAAAGATAAAACAAAGGAGTTTTTCAAGATAACTCAAAAGGGGCAAGGGCTAGAAAAAAGTTTCTTATAAAAGTTGTAAAGCATACAATTCCACATAAAAATGGCATCTTGACTTTTTCTTGTACTATTAAATTTAACTAGAACATCCTGAAACATATACAGACCATTCATTCCGAAGAACATCGGCAACGTTACTGGCTAATACAGGAGTCGATGTATTAACAATCAAGAGACATGGTGGGTGGAAATCAGCCATAATTACAGAAAGTTATGAAGCTAACATTTTAAGTAAGAAAAATGAAATAGCCAACAAGATTGTTTACAAATGACACTTCAACTTCAAGTTCTAGTAGTACGTCGCATCTTGCTGTTTTAATGGATCAGTCAGATAATACTGAGTCTCCGTTGACTGAAATGGAGCGGTGAAATCATTTTGAGAAAAATGTGACAATTAATAAACGCGATAGGAATAATTATCTAGATTTTATAAATGTCACTAAATATAATAACTGTACAATTACTATAAATATTCATTCATAATAATTAATAAAATGCAAAGTTTATCAAATATTTCTATTTATTTGTTCATAAAATGTGCATTTATAACTCGAAATCGCTTTTTTCAGGAGGTAAGTTACTCACTTACCTCCCGTTGTCCATAGCAACTTCCACTTCTACGGTAAAATCCACTTACCTCCTTAAAAATAAAGGAAATATATTTCAAAATATATATTTCTAATGTTTTACAGTTAAAGAATATACAACATATTTCACTTTATTTACATTATACATACCGGGTGTCCCCCAAAAAAAACCGCATCCCCACGATTGAGCCTATCAGAACAAGTTTCAGATCAAAATTGTGGGATATCTTGAAACAAATATGATGAAGAGTGGATTTTACTTTGATCTGAAGTTTCAAGGTCAATTTGAAAATATTAAATGGAACAGCGTATTTTTTATGCCGCCAATTTTTTTTCTTTATGTCCTTGCATGTATTTGAACCCATTTTTCTCTGAATAACTAGATAAACATATATCAAGCAAAATTGTTCCATTTTAAACGACAAATTAGATGGTGACCTTGAATTTGACCTAAAAGTTGATTAAATATATTAGATAGTCTCTATCAAATTTTAATTATTAACCTAAGAATGAGTTAACTTTCAAAATTATTATCAAGCTCATGCCGATTATTTTTTGCGCAAAATGAATTTGACCTTCATATGACCTTCAAGGAAATCATGGAAAAATTTCTTGTTATCAAATTCCAACATAAAATTCTTTACTGCATCCTGTTCCTGACATAAAAATTGGTGATATTACGTTGGTCTTAGTTTGATCTTACAAGTTATGGTGAAGGTCAAATTCAAGGTCACACTCTAATTTGTCATTTAAAACCCTACAAATTTTGGTCAAAACATTTTTATGGAGTTTTTTTCAAAGAAAAATCAGTATAACCTCCAAGAGACCTGCAAGGTCATAAGGAAAAAAATTCTAACACCATGCTCGGACAAAAATTTGACGATCTATCGATTGCTTGCTGGAAAAATAAGGCGTTCAAATCAATATTTTCTAGTTCACCTTGAAACGTAACGATAAGGTCAAATTCAAAACCACCTCGTTTTCTTGGTATCGCACAAATTTTATCTGAAACTTTTTTTTGATGACCCACAATTAGTCTTGAAAAGTTATCTGGGGCTTCGCGTCTTTTTAGGACACCCTGTGTAACTTAAACAATATCATAAATGAAAAAATTTCTACAAAAATAATTTCCAACTTAGTCTTGGAGTGGCATTTGAAATTCGAAATCTAAAACAGCAGATGCGCTGCGCTGTCTTGTAAACCGCTTAAATTAAAAAATTAAAGAATTGTGAAGTCTCATTCGCTTTCTAAAAGTCGGTGTCATCGTCAGACGTAGTATCAACCCCACTAGAACTTTCGTCGTTTCTAGCCTGGCAAGCCAAGCACAAGCTGTCCATATCGATCCAACATTCCTTGCAGTATATAAAATGGCAAGCCTCGTCAGGACATTCCACAAAATCGCTGTTCTTGCTTGGTTCCACCTCGTCACAAATCAAGCAGCGTCGCCTTGCACAAGGAAAAATGTACAACCAGTTGCATTTTTGAGGATAGTTCATCCTGAGGATGGCGAAGACGTTGAAATTCTCTTTCAAGCGGTGCTCTCTCGCCATAGTTTGCACTTTCTTGCGCATGAATCTGAAAAGATTTCAATTTTATCTGTTGTTATTTATATGTGGCATTTTCAGTTGCTTCCTTATTTATGTGAGGATTTGTGCCACATCGAAAAACATTTTTTTTTAATAAATCACGGTACCTTACGCGTAAAGGCGTTTTGTGTATTTGTGAATTTTTCCACTAAGTATTTAGCTTTGCTTTAGAAGTTCAAGATAGCGTAAACATTTGAAAATAACGATGTTATAATTCAAAAATTGTAAAATATATTTTTTATTACAGGACAACAAAGTAAAAATTAACTTTAGTAGAAAAGATTTATTGGAATAAAAATAGATGTATTTTGTACTGTTTTTAACAGGAGATAGACAACCAAGGATACGATCGATTTGTGCTTTTCGAAATGGTACTAGAAGTATAAAATAAATATGTATAAGGAACTATTACAGCAAAAATTAACAAGGCCGTCAATAAAATAAACTGTCAACATTTGTCAAATAAAAGTAGAAAGTTTACAAGAAATTTTAAACAAATGTGTATATACAGGGTGTTTCACATAAGAACCGACACAGGGGAACCCAAAATATGGTGATTTAATGCAACTTACCTTTATACTAATTGTAAGCTGAATCCCTGAGAAGTTATGGACCTTGAAAATGGGGTTTCAAATTTCGAAAATTTCGAAATAAATCAATATCTTAGTTTTTGACGTAATCCGTATATACACAGCTGTTTAGACACTATTCAGACCTTGTTCTGTTTTTTCCCGAAGTTTAAATGTTTAGAATAAAAACGCAGTGACATTCAAACGATGAATGAAATTTTACAGTCCGTATAAATGTTTACTTGATGAGAATAGTGTAATATAAGTAGAGAGCGGACAATGTGTGTCTTTAACCCGAAGAATAGGTCAAATTTTGGTAGAGATGTGTACGAGTTCAAAAATGTATTGTGTATAAACTATGCAAAATATAATTATTATGTATAGCAAATATATCGTATTATCCTCGCGAAGATTTGTACCCTTTATTTAAAATCCATAAATCATGTGAACAGGTTAAATAACGAGAAAATAATGAAGTTAATTTAGTTCTAAAGAAATGAAATGACACTCGCGCCCATCTCTAGTCCATCCGTCGACATCGGTTGCGTTTATCGAATTCCTATTGGTCAGAATTCAAACTGCAGCCCTGTTATGAATGGAGCGTGAGTTGGACTATTCTATCATGTGCGTCGCTTGAGGGTATTCGTTACATTGACTCTTAATTTCCAATTAAAAGAACGACACTATTTTTAACCGAACTTTTATAACGCCGAATATTTTATAACGCTTAAAAATGTATGTACCGTGGAATTTCCGTGAATTATCACGTAAATTTCCGATGCATACCCGACACGCCACTGCGTCATGGATAATGTATCTAGGTTTATGAATGACATATCTATGTTCAAGGTTAAAGACACAAATTGTCCGCTCTCTGAATATAAGATACAATGCCTTATTATTTTGGTTGATAAACTTCTGAAATATTCACACATTGACTGAAAATTTCTAGTGAACACATTGGTTATTACTTTGTAAAAATACGAACGAACTGACTCGCCTCTTATACAGGGTGTTTTTAACACATTGGCGGTCATAAAAAAATTATTTCTTTATTTTATTGGGAATTTAATTCTAAAACTTTTCTTTTATTAGATTTCAACAAAAACACGAATAAGTAATAATACATACTATAGCTGTATTATTTAAAATCATCGAAAATCCAAAAGTTGGCTATGAATTTAAACGTCATGGGCGTAGATTGGGATGGCCCAGGGCTGCAAACTGCAAGGTCTATAGAGCGTCTAAAAAAATAAAATTTTAAAAACCTTAACATGTTTTGATTTCACGCTAAAAAAGCTTACTTACCGATATGTCGATATGATAAACGATAAGATTAGGTCTTATTTCTGGGGTGAGTCTGGGCCCTCTGAGGTGGACCGTGCACACCCCTGTTCCCCTTTAGCTACGCCCATGATTAAAATTAATATAAATACAGGGTGGGCCATTAGTGTGAGAAAGTACAATAACTCCCTTGTTATTCATAATACGGAAAAAATTGTATATAAAAGTTGTAAGAATCAATAAACCTAAACTATAAAATTAATTTGAAACATACAGGGTGATTAGTAAAAACGGGGCACGCCAAATATAACATTTTTTAAATGGCACACCCTGCATATTTTTAAACATGAATTTCTGAGAAAGCAATATAAACAGTTTAATATTTTAGTGCGGGCTTGCCAAGTTATGTAGAAAATTCTTCAAATTTTGGAAAAAACATGACCTCGAAGAAGTCGTATTAACTTTCAACTGCTAACACTTGGAGCAAAAATATTGGACAGAGTTATTGGCAAATGTTAGACAAAGGCTCCTACATTAGCTAATATCAATATTTTATAAAGGGCATTTTTCAGATAATTTTCAGAAAGTTCAAACTTGATTTTCTAAAATTTTTCAAATTGAACACCCTATATTTTATTGTTCTATTTTATTCACATATCGGTCCACTTCAACGTTCATTAAGCATGTTCTATATCAAAAATTGTTAGTTTTTAAGATATAGCATCATTTCTGAAAAAACTTAATTTTTATTATTTTAGATCGCACGAGATGGCTTTGGAAAAAAAATGTCACTTTGTGTCAACTTCTCTGTTACTAGTAAATATTTATTAGTTGATATTCTTTAAAATAATTTTGATTTGTACATATTAAATGAAAATAAAATAAAATAGATACGAAAATAAATCAAATATTTAATTTTACAAGTGTTCAAAATGACGGCCATAGCCATAGGAAAATGTAGGCATAGCTCTACACGTCATTCAAATGTGGTGTTAACATTATCCAGAATATCAATGTTGATATTTTGAAAAACCCGTAGGATTTGGTTTTTCGCGTCCTCTTTGGTAGTGGGGGGAGTTTGGTATACCACATTCTCTGAATGTTCGGCGGTACATTTTCTAATAAATTTTCCATGGTATTTTGTAAAAACTGTATAGTTGCCCTGTTAAATGTTGTTCGGAAAAATAAGACCCAGTAACGTAAAGTCCAATAATCTCACCCCAAACATTGAGTGACCACACAAATTATTTTATAAAATACCTAATAAACATTTACTAGTAACTGACAAGTTGACACAATGTGACAGTTTTTTCCAAAACCACCTCGTGCGACCAAAAATAATAAAAATTTAGTTTTTCAGAAATGTTGTATCTTAAAAACTAACAATATTAAGTAAAGAACATGTTTAATAAAAGTTGAAGTGGACCGATATATGAATAAAATAGAACATTAAAATACAGGGTAATCCATTTAAAAAATTTTAGAAAATCAAGTTTGAACTTTCTAGAAATGATCGTATTATAAAAAATGCCCTGTATAAAATATCGATATTAGCTAACATAGGAGCCTTTGTCTAACATTTGCTTATCACTCTGACCAATATTTTTGCCCCAAGTGTTAGTAGGTAGTTGAAAGTTAATACAACTTCTTCAGAGTCGTGTTTTTTTCCAAAATCCGAAGGATTCTTTACATAACTTGGCAACCCTGCACTATATAGAATTTTCCTAAATCCATGTTTAAAAATATACAGGGTGTTCCATTTAAAAATTGCAATCTTTGGCGTGTCCTGTTTTTACTAATCACCCTGTATGTTTCAAATTAATTTTGTAGTTTAGGTTTCTTGATTTTGTACAACTTTTATATAAACTTTTTTTCCGTATTATAAGTAACAAAGGAGTTATTGTACTTTCTCACTCTAATGGCCCATCCTGTATATAGGCTCAAATTCCACAAAATCTAACTCATAAGAATTCAAATGTTTTATAGGCATTATATCTTCTATCATCTTTCTACAGAGTGTTTTATAGCCATTATACTATCTTTATCCAGGATGTTTCAGTTTATGTTTCGATTATTCCGATTTTGATGAAATTTTTGTTAACGATTTTGTCTGGTTAAATTTAAACATTATTTACTTTTAACTAATTTTAACTAATTAAAAAAAATCCTATTTTATTCTAAAAACGGACCGTTTTCGATTTATTTTTGCTTTTTTAACTTATATTAAGCCAGCTACCAGACACCGGAGATTTTCCCCCGAGTTTTCTCCGGAGTTTTTCTCCGGAGTTTTCCCCGGTGTTTTCCCCGGAGTTTTCCCCGGAGTTTTCCCCGGAGTTTTTCCCCGGACCGTTTCCCCGGAATTTTCCCATGGAGTCACCGGAGTTCACCGGAGTTTTCCCTGGTGTTTCCCCCGGACTTTCTCCTCGGACTTTTTCCCGGACTTTTCCACGGACTTTTGCTATTTTTTATTACGGTATTTGTTCTTTAATCAAAGCTCCACTTTTCTTCAGAGCGTTTAATTCCCGACAATTAGGGAGCGTGTTTAAACTGAAAGACGTAAGTTGCGTAAAATCGCCATATTTTGGGTTTCCCTACATACCCCTGCTCTGAATCGGTTCTCATGCGAAACACCCACAGGAAACATTTTCGAATTGCGTAACACAAGCACTAAACTTTATTTATACAATGCTTACCTGAAGAATCCGATTCTCCTCTTCAGTGATTCGTTGTAAAGAAACAGTATGCGTTTTTTCTGTCTCTTTCTGTAGAAATAACCGCAGATGACACTCCTCAACCTCAGCATATACGCCTGGACCAACATCATGACCCATATCGCAAAATACGTACCGTATATTTTGAAAATATAATACTTTAGCAGCAAATTGGGCCTCGGAAGGCATATCGCGTTGGTTCTCTCGATTCGAATACGTTTTTTTACATTGAATCCCTTAACGAGTGATCTGAGCACAGAAGCTATCATTCCAGTACCTAAAATATTGAAATTTTTTATAAATCACACTCTCTAAATATCGATATTTGAAACACTTGGAAATAGAACGCTTTGAAAAACAAAATGTAGTTATCGCGTTCCTTTATTTATCACTGTCATAAACAGGGTTCTACCAATGCATTATTTCTGGAGTGCTTTAACAATTCCAATCTCTGATTGGTTCTGGAACCCATAAAACAGAAATGATAAATAAAAGAACACAACCATGGCTTCCCTTTAACGTCTATCATGATGTCATGTTTGCCAGATTGGACGTAGTCTATTCTGGCGTGTCTCCTGATCAGATCCAGAGTCTCATAAAAAAGCTTGTCCAGGAGTACCAGAATCGTAGCCGTGATCATTTCCAGGAGCAGTACAGCTGTTTCCCTCAGTATCTTTTCTCTCTCGCTCTTCAAAGGAGTAAGCGATGTTACATCCACCATTTTCTTCCTCTCAATTTTCTTCAGCGGAAGCAAGGTGTGTTTCTCTTGCACCTTCCTACGGGCGTCTATCTTCCTGAAGTACTTCGTTATGAAGATGTTGTCGAACTCGATGTCCCTCAAGTACTTGTCGTGGTAGTTTTGGGACTGTATGATTATCCTTAGGAAAACAAAAGCTAATATGCGTTTGATAACGACGAGAAAGGTGGAGAGTAAATTTTTCTTCTGTTGGACAGTATGCATTACCGCTACAGCGGTGTCTCTAGCGTCTCTGATGTCTCGAAGCTGTTGGATCTTTGGTATCTTGTACTGCAGCCTGACGTCCTTGAAGTTTTGAGCCAGGGATTCTCTGGAATGTTTCAGGTAAGAATAACCTTCTCCAAAACCTGGGTCTATCTCCTTGGAGGGATCGCATCTGTTGGCACCGCCTATCGCTTCTGCTATGTTGCAAACGAAGTCTAGTTTCATCGGCCAGCACAACAGCCAAGCAGCTATCCAGGAGACGGTGTCGTAGCACTTGTTGTAGGCACTTTCGAACATGTTGCGGCACTTCTTTCCCGCGCTGGTGAACTGGCTTTCACACCGCATCTCGATTTTTTTCAGGTACTTCTTCTCGAATCTCTCAGCTTCAACTTGTTCACCTGAATGCAGAGAGTTATGGAGAAATTTACTGATGTTTTGAATTTTGAAAAAATAATTCAAATGCTACCTTTCGTTTGGTACTTGGCATCCAACAAGGACGACCTCTTCGTGTCCCCTACTTGCTCGTCCAAATAGTCATTCTCTTCCTTCATCTTCTTCATCTCAGACTCGTCTTCTATCTCTCCCGTGATGGGCGAGGACACGTCTCTAATGGACCTTATCGTATCTTTCACCTCGTTCACGTCCGTCTTCATTCCGAAAATAGCTTCGGTGAAAGGTTTGTACATCAGTTCAAACCTGGTCTTGGTCAGATTGTAAGTCAAAGATGCCGAACAAGCGAACACCCTAACGACTTCCTTTCCGTTGTTGGCCAGGTTCTCCACTGGACCGGAAATGATGAAAGCCACCACCATGGCTTTGAGAACGCTCCTTCCTACCTTCCCTCCGAAGCTGGGAAATGTGAGACAAGTGATGCATCTTATTTGGGAGGAGAAGGCTATGCCAAAAGCGAGCATTAGGCATATTATCAGTGCGACGAAAAATGAGGCGTCTTCCGTAAAGTTCAGGTCAACTAAGATGAACTTGTGGAATAGAATTCCTAGGATAATGCCGTATATGAAGCCGACTACTCGCTTGAGGGTTTTGTGTTCGTGTTTTTCTGTACAGAGCAGTTTGTATAGCAAGGGTACTTTTCTAAGGAATTTTTTAACGTTTGCTAGATACTTGTCAGCGTTTTTCATTTTGACAGTGTCAGTAAGACAACTAACTCTAATCAATACCTCTATGATTAACCTACAATATAGATCTTGTAGTAGTTTGTAAGATCTATGACCTGCAAGCATGATATAATTGTTTCCGTCATGTTTTGCTAATAGTACACAAGTGCTACAAAATTTTTTATTTCTAACCGACAAAAAAGCATCCAAAAAATATTGTTTAAAAAAATTTTATGAGTTTTACTTTGACATATTTTATAACTATTCTGATAGTTTTGAAGGATTCTAAGACTGACTCGAAGAACTTTGAAGTTGTTTCGATGTATGGTGACGTAAGTGATATTACTATTATGTATTCCAAGACTGTTGCGATGTATGTTGTTTCCCTAAATTTGTTTCTGAGTGAGAAATTTTCTCCCAGTTAAATTTACCATTTGGGCCACAAGTGGATTTAAATCAGGAGATCTCGGTGGCAAATGTATGGGTACATCATGTCCGGGAAATGTTCATTAAGCCACTGACGGACAGTCAAGGTAAAATGAGCAGGGCTCCGTCGTGCATAGACCATATTTCCTGTCTCAGTTGGAGAGGAGGAGAGGTAATTCTTCTAACAAGATTATTTTGCGAAAATTGCAAATATTGCACACCTCTTAAACGTTGAGGCAATGTGTAAGGTCCAATGAAAAAGTTTCCGACAATACCAGCCGAAACAGTGACAGCAAATGTATGTTGGTATTTCCCTATTAAAAATACCACTTCCTGTAAATAATGCTTCATCTGCGAAGAGTATTTTTTTCGGTAAACGTTGGATCTCGAATACGGTTACGAAGTATCTCTAGCAGTAGTTGGCTCGGAGATTATTATTGGCAGGCAACAATTCGTGAACCCTTTTGAATTAGTAGGTATGTAATCTGTTTTTGGACAGTATTCTTCACTNTCTAGCAGTAGTTGGCTCGGAGATTATGATTTGGCAGGCAACAATTCGTGAACCCTTTTGAATTGGTAGGTATGTAATCTGTTTTTGGACAGTATTCTTCACTCTTCAGATACTGGCACCAGACGTATTGAAATCTCTGGATGCTTCTCTAATACTTCGGGAGTTTTATTCAAAAAATTCTAAAATCGCCTCTTCCTGTTGAACATTGATTTCATTTCCCGTTCTTGCATTTCGTTGTTGACCATTGAAAGAACCTGTCTCTCTAAATCTTAAATTAATATTTAATATACAAAGTGGGAGTATTAGGAACACGGCGATTAGGAAATGTTGGCTTGTAACGCATTTCCATGACATTCGCCATAAATGAAATGCATATCAGCATATTCTTGATTTCTGTAGCGGTTATTCATACTTTCTTTCCCAATTTGAATAAAAAACAAGCAAAATTTTTAAAATAACACTCACCAGCCTTCATATAAGACTACTTTGTTGATAAAACAAATAAATAATATCAAAAATGACAATCGCATACTACGTTTTTAGTAACCGTTATACTAATTATGTGTAATCGGCAAGGAAAAATAATTTATTTTTTTGCTCGTAAACTATTAGGTTTACAAAAAAGTAAGAAGAGTGAAAAAAGTTCCTAATTGAAATGTGGTATTAAAAGCGACTTCTTTTGTTGAAATTAGCTAATGTAGAAAAAAGTTCTGAGAGAAATAAAACAATGGGGTACTAATTTCTTTCATTCAAAGACAAACACCAGAAAAAAGACTAGCGAAAAATATCATTCAACTAGTTGTTAACGCGTACCAAAAAATTCAAATTTCTAAGTTCATCCGTTTTCGCGAAAAAGAATAAAAGCTAATTTTTTAGGCCATTTTGAGATTCGATTATTTTATCATGGGAGCTCAAATCGAAAAAATGTATTAGAAGTACCACCCCTAAAATTACTTTCTAAACACCTCCTTAAAATATTTGCACACCATTATGAAACACACTGTACAAATAAAATTGAAGCAACAAAGATAGTTCAAGGAGGGACTTCAAACAGCTGCATTTCCAGTTAATTTTCCCATTTGAAGAGAAAACAATCTGAATAATATTGTTAACGGAAATGTTTATACATCGATTATTTTTTCTTAATTTCTCACTTGGGACTTACGATCAACAGCTTCATGTATCTTTTAAAACACAAGTGCATTGCGAATAATACGTCTGAAACGAGTACAGCGAAATTGTTAAAAGATGATACCAAAAATTATAAAAGGGTACTGATGTGGACCAACATAAACATCTGTACAATCCGGTAAGCAATTTTTCAGAGAGACAGAGCGTGATTACGGCCCCGATATCACAAATATGACAAATGGGGCTGTAATTTAGAACAAAGTATTTATTTTCTTTGGCCGACATGCATGGTTTGGTTAAAAAGCAACCGCACCGGAAAATAATATCAAACAAGAGACGAGCGTATAAAACTAACAAAGCTACCGGCGTTTCCTGCATAAACAAGCAAGTACCATTTCCTGCTGGAAAATTTACGTACCAAAAATATTTCGACAGATAATGAGTTAGTCGCAACCCGCATTTGTTTTTTCATGTTGATACAATAAATGCGGTCATGGTATTTTTGTGAACTTGGATAATGTCTTTTCTCTCTTTGTCGTCTTCCATCTCTTTCCTGTTGATAAAAATTACCAATGCATCAGTCAGGAATTTGTCCGGATTGTATTTGCACCACAGCATTAATAGGTGATATTGTGAGAGCTACCGATAATAATAAATATGTCTTAGTGTTGCTGGATTATAGTAAAACATTAATTATAAAGCATAAATCATTAATCATCTGCTATTTCTTCTAATGCGGCATTATATTGGCATCAATAATAACTCATTTGCTCTAAATAAAAACTTCTTATTGAAAAACGGAATATGTTGTATATATCACAACGCATTTAATAGAGGAGTGCCACAAGGCTCTGTTTTAGACCCCTTATATTTCACGATTTATGCATCTCAGTCTGAAAATGGTACTGTAGGTCACACTTTTAGGCTTATAATACAACTAATTATATAATTCCCTCGAAGAAAACACAGTACAACGATTTAGAGACTAGCAAATCATTATTTCTGGAGGTATGCGTTCTTTCGCAGTGTATTAGATATACCTATGTTTTTTGTTCTTTCTTTAGAGACGAGGTATGTCGAAATTAAGTACATACTAACAAACAATTTAATTTAATTTTGTTTCTACTTACGTCTTTATTCAAGATTCCAGTTACATTACTCATATATTCTCCCTGATCCCAAAGAGCGATTATCCTAGCTTTTTCCAGAATGGTGCAGTGTATTTTTATTATTAGTCCAGTCACTGAAGCAATTTGGCTACCAATTTTTTCGGATGGAATGGATTGACGTGAAATTTGAACTGTAGTTAGGGAATAGCCCAAGAAACAAAAGTTATATGGTGTCGATGTGTGCTTTTACCCTAGGGGTGGATGCCACCCCTTCTGGAGGGTGAGAATTTTTTTATTAAAAATAACCTCACGATTCGATAGAGGGACGAATTCTGAGCAAAAAATGTTCTATAAGAATTTTTTGTACAGTCAATACTTTTTGAGTTATTTGCGCCTAAACATGTTCGTTTTTAGCCCAAAAAATGTTTTCGAGCCATTTTTCGCGAATATCTCAAAAACTACAAGTTTTATCAAAAAAAATAATCGTACGCAAAAATGAAGGTAATTAAATAGCAAAGAGATTGCTTTTTTATTTTTGTAGATGGTATAGAACCCGAGTTACGACTCCCAGAAGTTAAAGTCAATTTCGAAGTTAGCTATAATCAAAACGTTCAACGTCCTGTAGCGGAAAAATTAAAGGTTTTTCGAGGAAAACTTATACAGGGTGACATAGAAAAAAGTACATTGCATAGTGCCACACAATAGAGGACACTAAAATAAGAAAACAAGTTCCTATGAACATGGGTCTGCAAGGCCTTCGGTTAAAAGATACGGGGTGTTGAATTTTATTTTTGTCTGGGTTTTTTTTTGAATATCTTTAGCCAGAGACGCAAGAAATGGATAAAATGTGGTATACAGGGGTTTTTTTATCATGCTAAATTCAAATATGATCTTAGTTTTGTGATTACTGATAGAGGGCGCTACATACAGGGTTCCATATCTATTGAATCGGTCCTAACTTTTTTGCTATACACTGTATGTCATTTTCGACTGAAAAAAATTTGTTATCCCTTCTTTATACGTAAGAAAGGTATACCTTGTCCAAGTCGCTAGAAGCAATGGTTCCAGTACAAAAGCCGACAATGCACGCAAATTATTCAAAAAGCGCCAAAGTAACATTTGCAAAAACAATGATAAATAACAATTAAATAATGTGTCATAATGACACTTGTCAAACTAATATAATAATTGTTAGAGGTATTTTGTGTTCTTGATTAAGTTTTTCATTGGTTTTCTCACTGATTATTCAAAATTGCTTTCAAAAATGGTTCGCTACACTTTTGAAGAATACAGGGACATGATTATGTGTTACGGCGAAGCTAGATCAAATTCTTACGAAGCTCAACGTATCTATCGAGAAAGATATCCTTTAAGACAAGTTCCTAATGTTCGAACATTTATTGATGTGCATAGGCGTTTGGGAGAAGATGGCTGTTTTAGAAAACCAAAATTGAATAGTGGGGTTTCCAGAACTCGTCGCACTGTGCGAAACGAAGAAACTGTTTTACGAATGGTAGAAAATAATCCGAGAACAAGCACCAGGAAAACAAGTTCAGCGGTGCGAAACCTTAACCGTGAATCAGTTAGACAAATTTTCAAAGAACAACTTCTTCGCCCATATCATTTCCAAAAAATTCATTCACTATTGGAACATGACTTTGTTCCTCGTGTACAATTTTGCGAATGGTTTCAAAACCAAAGAGAAAACATTATTTCATCAATTTTGTTTACTGACGAAGCTAGTTTTAGTCGTGATGGTATTCTGAACCTACATAACATGCACCATTGGAGTGATGAAAATCCTCATCAAACTATAATTCGGAGT